CTGTACCATAAACGCAGCCAGGTTAGCAGTATATAAAGCCACAAGCATTAGAGCTGAAAAGCACCAGGCACCCAGGACCACGCGGCCACTTACGAACCTTGGAGTATGGGCGTCCAAATTACCGCCAAACAGTCGTGAATAAATTAGCCAGATAGAAGTATGAATGTCAAATTGTCCTACGTAGTCTTGGTGTTCACTGCGCTGGAGGCCCGGATTTTTTGACTCAAGCATGTAGACCAAAAACGCGACAAGGTATAAGACAACAAAGAGAAGAATCCACGCCTCTGGCTAAAATAAGACAAGCAATTTTGCACTATGACGTCACAGCATGTTAATTTTTTGGTTTCTATTTCTTTATTCCCGAACAAAGTCTATCAAGTCCGCCAACAAACCAAACATATAGAATCAGCCATTCAATTTAAACCGTGATAGGCCTCAATGGTGGGAACTAACGGTAAACTAGCTAGTGTGAGCTGCGTCGGTGTTTCTAAAGAAACAGTTGTGTAAAAAGATAAATTTAGCACCGTAAAAAAAAGGTGAAACAACTTACTGTCGTTTCGGACATTTTAAAATCCTTCGTTGGAGTAAAAAGATATGCCTACCTCGAAAGGCTTTAAAAAGCCGGCTCCTGTAAAGGTTCCTTTTCGTCTAGCAACTAATATCGTGGTCCCCGTATGCATGAAAGGTGCTGAGAAGTCGATATATTTGCTTCTTTCTTCGGTGATGCTGATCGAGGACATCGCCATGTCTGCCTCCCCGTCAAACACTTTCCCTATTAAACCTGTCAATATTTGATGAGAAAGTCTTTGGAAACCCATATAATTGATTGATTGATTGATTGATTGATTGATTGATTGGTTGATTGGTTGATTGATTGATTGATTGATTGATTGATTGATTGATTGATTGATTGATTGATTGATTGAATGAATGATTGATTGATCGAGTGATGGAGGTATCGAGGGGTGGATGGTTTGGTTGCGGAATGAATGATAGATTGATGTTTATATTAATTGATTGAATATTGATTGATTGATGATTGCAAACTACCTCCAGWGATAACTTRTAGCCGGCATCATTCTTACCCGTCCAACGACCATTCTTAAACGATCCCGCACGTCCTTTTTCTATTATGCGTATCACAGGCTCCAATTGAAGATCTCGACTGATGAGAATCAGTAGGTCAATGCACAGGCCATAGCAACACCTTGGATGCTCTGTGGAGTGATGATAGTTATGTTGATGATTATATAACAAAAGTTACAAAGGTTAAAAGATATTTAAAGGCAAAGTCTTTGAAGTGGTAAAGTTATAATTTGCTTTGATCTGGAGTCAATCATGATAGAGACATGTAAAATGTACTACTCTCATRAACCACTCATCTTCAAGTCTTCTGATAAGCAACTAATGAATGGGCTCCCTGTGGTATTGAAATGATGTGAGGAGACTGGTATAAAAAAGTCCTACCCTTTTTATCTATGGTAACCAGGGTGCACTTCATCCCCTGCTGACAGTCTTTTATCGACACGTTGAGTGGCATTACGTACACCAAGGGCTTCGTCGCGTACATGACCACGCGCAGGCGCACACGTGGAACACCGCTKGGTGTACGTATCACACCGCCAGGCCAGACTATTTGTTCAAGCTTCACGTGTCCATTTTCTGAATAACCGACGTTTCGCCAAAATAACTGCCCAGTGTATCTTTGTTTTTGTAGGTTGATGAAGTTGTAACGTGAAGCTGCTCGAAAACCGTCCTGCGTGAATTTTACTTGCCCTGTAAGACCCTTGAAGGTAACATTTTTCATGGCCCTGTAAGTGAAAAGCATCGTAGTTTTCACTTGTAAATATTCGATGTTTATTCTGCTTTTGAGGTTTAATTTTGAAATAAACTATCGGCTAAGTTGAAATCAATAGGAGAAATACCTATAAAAGGATTCTTCGTTTCGTTACAGCGGCCATCTTGGAGGAACTTCAACAAAGGAATTCTTATTAGTATCTATTGTTCATTCCTCCAAAATGGCTGCATGTCTTTTATCTTTTGAATCTCATGGAAATGGTTGAAAACGATCAATAGGTTTAGGGCTACAGAAAATGAAATTTCTTTCAGATGAACGCTGCTCTTAGCTGTTTTTCAGAATGTCAGTACCATTCAGATTTAACTCCAATTGTCCTTTTTTTGTTTTGTTTTTATCAATATCGGAATTTCTATTCTACATTTTACATCACTAGAAAAGGGGTGGCCATGCCTTTTGTATTCTTGCTTGTAAATTCTTGGAGTGCAAGTTACGTCATTACCGCCATGTTGGATGAAAACCACAAAGCATTCCTCATTTGTTTCTCTTGTTCATTCATCCAAAATGGCGGTGATAGCTTTGTTCTTTATTTCTCATGAGATTCCTGGTCATGTGGCTGCGGCATTCTTCCCAACCGGACCAAACTTACCGTTCGTCAAGACCCTCTATCACGCTTTTCTTGACGTGCAATGTACGTCGCTCCACCATAGATACAGCTATTTCAAAAAATGTTTTACCTATTGGATTCACCTTACATAGAAACGGAGCCTAAATGGAGTCAATGTTTACCACGGACTATCTTACAGTATAAATCAGTTGTTATTGCCTTTTAAAGGGACTCTGTCAATGGCACGCATGCGCGAGTAAACTTGAAAACACTAGGTTAGTGTTTGCAAGTTTATGACTCCAAGTTGGCGCGACATAAATCATCTCGTAAACGTAAACACATCTAGAATATTCCAAAGTGTGTCAGAAGCACCACAAAATGATTTACCTCGAAGGTAATACTTTCAAAGTCCGTTAGAGGTGAGACTGTTACTGCGCATGTCATCCATTGACAGTGTCCCTTTAACTAGCAAAACCCATGGTTACTTTTGGTCGTGCAATCGCCGTTCGAGCATTGACATTCGCCATTTTTCCGACAACCTTTTTTTGAAATAGCTATATAATTGGCAGTGTTAATTCGCTATTGAATGTACTCTTAACCATCAGGTGACTTACTTGTATAAAGGCGTAGCCCTATCCACTATGTYAGTCTCATTGTAACAATTAGAGATGGTAGTGTCCTGCCACGTKACATTATTTCGAATCAAATCTTCCAACCCATGATGCACTGTTTGAATAGCATCGACGATATGATCAACATGTTTGTATTCGTAATTATACTCAATACCAAGTAAKCCAATAGGAAAGGAGGCTGAAAACGAGGTAGAATTATAAATTGACCAATCAGCAACGCGAATCGAATGTTATAGATATTTTAATAATTAATATTAATATTATTAGACAATTGTTAGTGATGTCACTCAATGGACCCTATACATGGATCAGTACTTTCGGAGAACAATGCGTCCGCGATCTTGAAAAGTGAGACCAAACCACCATGTTTTGCCTCAGAACACATTTCGTAGTTGCTAAATCAACTAATCTAACATTATATCGAATTATATTAACTTGACATTAGTGAGAAGCTTTCAATTCCTTTAGGAGTTATAATTTAGTGATTCGAGTCCCACTTTTCAAGATGGCGGACACATTGTTCTCCGAAAGAAATGATACATGTATTGTTCGCATCGTTTTAAAACGCAAAGAGCTCATTATCATCTAAGAATTTTTTTTCTTTTAAATTCAATTAATAATTCACATCCATTCCATCATGAGGTTAATTTCCAATTAAAATTTTGTGCGATTTGTGAAATAGTCCCCTTAAATATTAAAGGCTCTACCTGGAATTGTTTTGCGATTTTCAAGAGCAGTTCCTCCGACAATCCACGCATGCTCAGTGGTKGTGAGTTTCTGTTTCTTGGCTCGGTTAAGAACAATTTCAGCCATCCTTTTGGAACARAGGAGAACAAAAACACGTATTTTTCCATAAGCCTTTTTCAGGCCCGTGTCTATCGTGGAATTTTTGCCATCCAATCGTATTCTTTGACTTATTAGAACTTCTTTTGTGTTCGCAAGGGTGTTGTAAAGGTCTTCCACGAGGTTTGTCATGTGATTATTGGTCTGGTGGATWACGCAGATCTTTCGCCATTGAAACTGTGTCATTAGCTGAAGTAACGCTTCGTTTTGTTCATKGAGGGGTGGCTTGATATCGAGAAATGCTGGTGGTGCATCCTGGGAATGAATGAAGAGCCACAATAACACACTGCACATGCCCTTCACGA